TCGATTCTTGTTGTTCTGCTTTGATTAACACACCCCGTGGCCATTCTGTGCTGTCAGCCAGGATGCCACCACCACCTCTTCAAAAAGTCATTAATGGGTTTTTTCTTCTCCCTTTGCCTGAACTGCCTACAGCCCCAAAAGTAATTGCATCGGTGATAGGTTCAGGAATTTAGCTAAATCATTAATAACAACAGCTAATCTTGTCGGATGGGGAAAAATGAAATTCCCATCCCAGTAAATCATCATTTACAAGCTCCCCATCATGCTTTCAAGGCTCCAGATGTTGAGAATTGGAGGGAGAGAAAACTTTTTGTTCTGAAACTTCCCAGACTACTCAGAACAAGAGAGAGAAGGGAGCATGATGGACCAAAAGGTTCAGTCAGCCTGTTAAATCAAGCCTCCCAGTGAGGAAGTGCTCAGGAAGACTAGTTTTCATGGGTGTGAGTTTAGCATGCAAATTTTTTTTTATGCTGGGAAGACAACATTTGCACTGCCTTTTGCTACGAACACAACCCACTCTATCGCATTAGTGTTATCCTTCAAAGGTGCTTTAAAAAATAATTCATGGCTTTCTAATTCGCTTAGCTCAAGGTTGCTACTGGCTAAAGCCATCCTCTTGGGGTAGGCTCAGAATTTCAGAAATCATTAATTTGGTCTTAAGTCTTATAATAGCATTTTATTTCCCACCGTATATAGAGGCTGGGAAAGCAGGACAGTGATCCCCATATGAATAGATTCATCACACAGGGGAACTTTAAAGGCCTCAGCTGTCTCTTCCATTAGCTCCTTAGAGAGGTCTGCAGGCAGCACTGCTGGTGGCATCCATGGTGGCAGTGGTGGTCCTCGGTATAAATACATTGGAGGGGCATCAGACAATACTGATAAAAAAGCCAGAAACAGCAATAGTTTTTAAGTTAAGAGAAGACCATTCTGATCACCTGTCCTCATCTCACACATTACACAGGCCACGTAACACCATACCACGACTCCTGCAATGAAGCCTGTGACCTCTGGATGAATTTCAGCGGAGTTTTCAGGCAGACCCCCAGGCTCAATATAAAGCCTTTATGCCATGAAGTATCTACCCTTGGAAAAATGTTCCAGTGGTTAATGGCTTGGCTCAAATAGGATTCTACAGCTGGGTGGGAAATGAAGGAAACAGGAGTATTAAAGTTTATTTTATGGAAAAAAACAGATTATCGTGTGAAATATTCACAGCGGGTTTTTAATCAGTGATGATGTCCACTTTTTTGTATTTAAGACGAAAGTCAATCCCCATACCTTAGGGTGGAGTAAAAGTTGCCACCTGGAGACATCTCCTTTTCTCACTGACTACAGCAGTGAACACATGACTTGCCTAGACAAGACATTTAATTTGCAGACACTGAAGGAAGATCCCCTTTGGATGCTGGATGAGCAACACCAGAAGGCCTGGGGGGGTGGGTGGGGGAGTCAAATCTATTCTTATCTTTATTCCCTTCTGCAATCAGTTCCAGCTGAGTGGCCACCTCAGACACATGCCAGGGTGCACAAAAGCTACCAGTCCCAGTCTAACTCTTGCTGGCCCAGTGAGGGGAGTCAATGCCACTTGTCACTGCCAGGGACACCAGGGACACACTCACAGGCCAAAACTTTCTTTTAGCAAGGCTTTATCCAAGACAGCGGTTGCAAGAGAGCATGAGGTGGTATACGGCGAACAGCTCTTCCCCGTACATTTTAGAAGCTATCTGATTCTGAGGGGAGTGTAGTTACTAATTTGGATGTGTGAATTGTTTATTTCCTACAGCTGTGAGCTGAATATTTTTAATATTCCCTCAGCTTTTCTTATTCCCTTGTATTCTTCTTCCTGGCTGATGACTGGCTTATCTCATTTGAAGTTGACACTACGACATCTCCATTCAGGATCCTACAGGTGCTGGCAGCTCCCTTGAACAAAGAACTCTTCAAACTTCAGATTACTTTTGCCACAATATTTATCATCAGAAATTTGATTTCCCTTTAGCTACTGTGGATGCAAAGAGAGAAACGAACTAGTAGGTGGAATATCTCATTTTGTACCCTGCAGGGAGACATGCCCTCACAGAGCTGTTCTGTCCAAGATCCACTCAAGAGTGTGTTTCTAATACAGACCTTATTGATTGAATTTTATTGGAATTTTCCAGGCAGCAGAATGGATCTGCTATTTATGCCTCTGGTTATTATTCTCAGTAAGTGACAGCCTGGACAGATAAGTAATTCTGGATAAACGTGGGCTTAGATATATACGTATATCATAAGGTGAAGTGTTCCATGTGTCTGGAAATAACACAAGGTCAGTTATTTGAATAAGCCACTGTTGCCCACCTATTCATATTGGCTCAACTCAGAGACGTCCTTCAGACTTTCAAGTTCCTTCTGTTCTTGGACTTGGTCCAGGGTGAGAGAAGTTAAACTCTAGCCGGGGGAGTATTGACGAAAGCTAGTCTTTGCCGCAGCCTTTCATTCTTCCATGGTTTCTATGATCTCCAGGCCATTTCTAAAGGTTTCCTACTAAGCCATTATGGGCTGAGAACATGGGGCTGCAATTCTGCCCCTTTCCTGACGCAGCTGTAACATCCTCACTACCTGGACTGGAAACTGCACTTCTGTATTTCCCTTCCCATGCTAATCCCACCTTTGGTAAGAATAAGCCTGCCACCTTTCTTTGCAGCATCCCTGCAGGGATCGTCTCTGTTTGCAAGCCCAGTCCCTCCTCACTCCCATTTTACCAAAGCTGTACTCGAGCAATTCCTGTGTTCTCTCTAGCAGGCCAGTACTGTAGGCACTGAACTCGGTGGGGCCACGCCACAGAAGAACCAAGTGCTACCAAGTGAAATAATGGCTTAGAGAGAAAATGGTTTAAAATTAACACTTGAAACAATGGGGCTGAAATTCAGGCGGGACTGCTCAGGCTTTCACATCCCCAATGCCTGCGTGCATGTTAAGGCAGTAACGTACGAGTAAGCCTGTGCCCACAGCTCCTCATCTGCTGAGGAGGTTCAAAATCTTTTGAAAATACAGGCAGCTCTTTCAAGGTGTCTCCACCAGGGAGTGCTTAGTCAAAGGAGGATTTTCTCATGGCTTGAGTGGAGGTTCAGTCTGAAGTCATGGATCTGGGGACAGTCAGTGCAGCCTAAAAGGTAGAGGCCAGGACCCTCGGCTCCCTGCAGCTCCCAGCAGTACCCCACGGTCCCCCCAGCCCTGCTCCCACCCCAAGAGCAGCCCCCAGTGAGCTCATGGGTTCCTCCCAGCAGCGGTCCTACCTGATGAGTATGATGACTGACGGCGTCTGCGCCATGGCTCCGATCATGCTGCAAACGCACATCACGCAGAGGAATGTCAAGAAGGCCTCTTCGCAGCCGGGACTGGGGCATTTGCCGGGAACGACGGTGGCATTTTCGGCAGGAACCGAGGTGAGGCACGAACAGCCACTGAGGTTCTGCAGAGGAGCACAGGGGTTCAGGAGAAGGGAGAGCTGCGGTCCCCACCGCCTGCCCTCTGTAACGAGGGCTTGCCAACAGCAACTCTGAATCCTCTAATGGTCAATTAAGTAACTCCTAAGTGCTTATTTGAGGGGGGTTTGGAAAGAATTTCAGAAGTGTGTCAGCTCTGATACATGCTACCAGCAAGGGAAAGCCGTCCCTTGGCTTGTTTCTTTTCTTCTGCTCCTTTCAAGTCTCTCCCATAAATGTCACTGCGACAAAATTATTACCGAGTTATACCCCTTTGGAGGAGAATAAAGAAACGATCTGTGTCCCTGCGACAAAGAAGATCCCCAAATTATGGTTCTAATTACTTCCTTATTTACCTCCCTCCTCTTGGCTGTTGCAATTAAACTGAAGTACATTAAAAGCAGGTATATCTGCAGCCCTGTTCCTGGCTGTGGGTTCGGTGCCTGCTTCCAGCACCCTGAATCCTGGGAAGAAGCCACCAACAATGAGTGCTGCGGCTCACCAAGTGCTGAACTATCACAGCTTGGCAGCACAGACATGGACTCAAGTGCACTACAGGGCTAATAAATGACATCTGGTTCAGAGGGATTTGTATTGAGCTAAAAGCTGAAGTCAGGCGAGATAAACTTTATCAATATGTGATCAGAAGGAGGGCGAAATGACTGCATTTCTTCTTTGATCTCTCCAGCAAGTGCAGGATGTGAAAAGAAGCTTTGTTTGCCAGTCACAGATTTAGGGATTTTTTTTTTCTTATTTTCCAACTCACCCTCCTGAATTTCTGAGTGGGGGATGTCGGTGCAATTAAGGCACACAATAATACCAAGAAATCCCTTAATGAATACAGAATTAAATGATCATAAATGATTCATGGCTTGTCTTTATCAGCCTGCTGGGTTTGCAGGTCACATGTTTGTAAGAGGAGTAACGCCATAAAATAAAACATATTGAAAAACAGCTATATCTCCTCCCCTTACCCTCTACTATGTTCAAGCAGTAATTCCTTTGCTTTTCCGCTGGGGTCCCCTTAGGACCATACAAAAGCACACTTTCTGGTTCACTGACTCCAAAGATAAGGATCCGCGGGGATACTACTCCAGCCTTTCTGACACCAACCTCTTTTTTCTGCATAGGAGTCAAATGATTTTCTTCCAAGTAAGTGCACAGAGGGCAAGAGAGACCGCAGTGCAGAACTCCAGGAGAGCTGAAGTAGACATGCAGGTGCCCTTCTGACTGGCAAGCAATAATTAACATAACAAATTCCTGTGCTGTGAGTTAGAAGCTGCCACCTGAAGGCTTAGAGATGGTGACAATTAGCACCACTGCAGTGGTGTTTACACAGAGACAACAGGAATTTGTAGTTCCTGGCTCTTACTGCAGTGCACTGCTAGCAACCAGCCTGGACACAGCCCTGTGGATTAAAACCCATCTAAGTCCAGGAAAGTACATACCTGCACTGAAATATCCTGGGACAAAATTCCCATCACGGCAAACAGGCAGAACTGGCAGTGTATGTCCCAGGGGCTCTCACCAATGGAGAGAAAGTACCTGTTTCTGGGAATGGTGAGGCAGATTCTCCTCCCATTGGCGTGATTTTATACCTGGTGAACAAACCACGAGGCAGGACCCCACTTCCATTGCCTGAAACTTTGCCCCTCAATCAGCTTTTTCGACCATTTTGCACCAAGGTGCTAGCCCAAAGTAGCATGAGTAGTTTGTACCAACTACATCTGCTTGCTTAGTGCTGCACCTCATCCTTACCTGAGAGATCTTTGATCTTTTATTACTGACACGCTATACAACTCACAGACATCAAACAAGGAAACATCAAAGATGGAGTTTTACCTTGGTCCTGTAGTGAGGCAACTTTTTGCTACCCATGCCAAATTGCTATAGATTCCCTTGTCTGCAACTCCACTGCATTAAGCACTCATTATCACAGCCTTCCACTGCCCAGCAGTTTGCACACCCAGATTTTCTGTGTGCATGTGAAGCTGCACAGATGCAGAGTTTGCAGCTTTAACAGCATCCTGAGTTTGGGGTAATTATCTATGCAAATTACCCATGGTTTTAGTTACTCGTTTTTTTAAACGCTGGCTCTGACAGGGAAGGGACAGGCTGGTACTTCAGTGCAAAGCTGTGAGATGCCAGCACGGTAATGCCAGGCTGGAATTCACGCGTCTCCAGCCAAAAGGGGACACTGAGAGAAGCAATGGCATCGAACAAACAAGATGCATGGTCAACGGCTTTGTACGCAAGGGTCACTCCCAGGAACGGCTTGAAAGAGAAATTACTGAGGGTGCCAGATCTCTGCCTATCAGCACCAATACTCCTACGGCTTTTTGGATAGGTGCACCTCTGCAACCAGCTCAGTAAGAGAGAAGAAACGAAAAAGAAACAACTGAGCTACTCATTGCTTTTAGAAATTGTTCACAGAGGAAAAGCGGAGAGAGGCAGTCAGAAACGTCCAATGCAGTAAAGTTAAATAAAGCATTCAGAGAATTTTATGTCCCAGAAAAAGCAACCCTTGGCTCATCACAAGCATATAACATTCACAAGACCCTCTAGACAGGTCATTACCTGGATTATGGGTTTAAAACCTGGTTTGGCAATTTGGCTTTGGCTCAGGGCCATTGCATGGCCAAACTGGTCCATAATTCTTGATAATGCCCTTTCCAGAGGATGCTATTGCTTCACTAATTTGTGTTCAAAATGTTACTGCAAAAAAACCCACAAAACAAAGCAATGAAAAGAACCCGAAGATGATGATGAAAAGGCAAAATAAGAAATAATGAGTAAGAGAGAGGGTGAGGGAGAGCGAGGTTTTTGCTCAGAGGTATGCTCTTGCATGAGGTCAGGCAGCTGCAAACTGAAGGGGCAGAGCTGAATTTTCATTACTGTGCTCCTTCCAGAGGAGCCAGAGCTTTGCCCTGAACCACACAGCGAGGAGGTCATTCCCGCACTCCAGCCGTGGACCACGCCAGCTGCATTCTTGCTAAGGGCTCGGTGAACTGGCAAGACACTATTCTGTATGCCCTGTACAAGCTGGCTTGTTAAAATAATCGTGTTGCCCCCCTAGGTGTTGACTTGTCTCTTATTGGGAGGAGGAGGAGGAAGAGGGCAGGAGGTAACACCTTCACATGTGCCACACACTCATGGAGTCCCTTGTGGGGTTGCTGAAAGCACCTTGCAACTGTGGTATTTCAAAGGGATGCCTGCATCTCTGAGGCTGGAGTGGGAACTAAGGAGAGAAGAGGACAAGCTCCCAGGTCATCTGGGCTGTGAGGCTGCACTTGCTAGCAGCGAGCTTGCACCTCTGCTCGCCGGCACTTGCAGGCAGTTTGTCTCCTTAGGGCAGGAAGGGAGGTTTGATGTCTCCCCAAAAAGTAAGGATGAAACCATAGAATCATAGAATCACAGAATCATGTCGCTAAATGGGATATCCATGGAGGGATAATTGCATGTGGTGAGCACTGATGTCCCTGCAGCCGTGAATGGTCACTGTGACGAGGCTGACCTCCCGTGAGCTCCACACAAGCAGTGTGGCAGCAGTCGCCATGCCTGGCACGGCCCTGGGCAGGGAGCAAGGACTGCAGGAACCCCACCAGTTCCCACCCATTGGAGCAGCAGGCACTCATTTTCAGCATAACCCAGAAGATATTAGCATTTCAGCAGCAAAAAATGGAAAAGCAGGCTTTTAAGATATTGTTAAAAATTCCCCACATCATCTTTGCACAGAGATGGTTTGGTCTTCAAGAGTTTTCTAAAGGAAATAAACTCTTAGATATGGAGAACTGAAAAATGCCGAATGTCTTTGGATGGACTCTCTGCTCCCTTGACAACTGCTCTTGCTGCTGCCTCAGAGCAAAGCAGAGAGAAGCAAGAGGAGTAGAAGGAAAGCTTAAACAAGGGTGAATAAAACCAGGATCTAGTCATATGCGTCTAGGAACCAGACTCGAGAAAAGAGCAAGAGGAAAAAGAATAAAAGGATTGGGCAGGGTGAACACGGGCAGGTGGAGGAGCAGGGAGATGGGGAGCTGCAGGGGAAAAGAGAAGCTGGTCCCACAGCCCAGGCTAGCGAGCTCTCGTGGAGGATCTGGGTTCTGCCAGCAGACAACCGTGCAGATCTCCTCTCGTGTTCCTCTGCTTCCATGCCGAGGAGAAAGACCAGAGGAGTATGACGATGGGAAATACCATCCCCCTCTGCGTGTGACCCTGGCGGACTGCTGCCAGAGTCAGCAGGCATTTATGCAGTAGAGTGAAAAACGACAGCGGCTCAGGCCCATCTGAGGTATGAGGTTAGCTTTTGGGGGTGTAACCACTGCTGGCTGTCAATGAGCTACTCTACCAGATACACACTAACCTCACACACTCGCACTCACAGAATCGTTCCTACAGGCAAGAGGTCCCAAGGAAAGCCCACTCACCGTGCTGCTGCAGCCAGCAAAGCAGGCAGATAAGTATGTGACCCCATCTGCCCCACAGACTGGAGTGAAGGAATCAGTTTGGCATTCACAGTTGTTATTGCAGGGGGAATATGGGTCCAGAGATGAGGTTGGAGTTGAGCTGTAAGAGAAACAGAAAGAGAAATTACATCAGCCATGAGTGTAATGATATCAGCCAGCTTTTCCAATCGGTGCCACACCAAGATGGCTTTGAAGGAGGGTAGTTAAGGCAAACAAATTACAAAAAGCAGTGAGCAGGCTAGCCGGGTCCCAGCTTTAAGAAATCCAGGCTACCGCCCCTCCTTGGGGACAGAAATGCCATGGCCACTATCCCTCTGCAACAGGGAATCTAATGCGAGGCTTGGGCTGCCCTGTTACCCCAACAAGAAGCCCCAAGAAACCCAAAGAGATGCTGCGGAGATTGCTCTGTATTTTCCTAGAACAGTAACCGTGAGGAGCTGAGAGCCTGAAGAGTCATCTTCTGAAGAGTCGCCACTGCATCCTGAGGAGCACCAGAGAAGAAAATACAGAATAACTCTCTCCAAGTCCTGTGAATGCTACAGGGCACCATGTGCCTCATTTCTCCCATCAAAATGGGCCTGGAGGCACGCATACTCTCTCCTCACCAGAACTGAATTTCCAGGCATCTAAAACCTGGTTCTACAAATTCCCCTCAGGCACTTAAATAAATGTACAAAGCAGTGCATGTCCCTCGCTGCCAGGAGAAACCAGACAGTGCGGTGGACCCAACGCTACATAAGTGGCCATGGGTGCAGAATCAGGTCTGGCATCTTTCAATTCACTTTGAACGATTTTAGTAAAACTCCGTTGTCAGCTACAGGTACTCAACTCTCACAGCAGTGAGTGGCATGAAAGACTCCCAAAGTAAGAGCCCTATACGACATTGCCTTCTATATGCTTGCTCTATATGGTTGTCTAAGGGCCAGCACTGCCTGAAGGCTGCCCGTCAAGGACAATAACATGGTATTTATGTTGGTAAGGCTGAAATTCTCTGAGGACTCACTTGTTTCCATAGGGAACAGTAACCCCTGCCACAGGTCCTGTGTCGCATCCCAGGAACAGGAAAGACACGTAGCAAGCTGTGGACACCAGGTTCACCAGCATGGCCATCCTGATGGCTCCCAGAGCAGACAGGCTGAGCTTCTTCACCAAGAGGCCACCGAGGAATATGCCCAGACATGCACATGGGATTGCTGTCATCCCTGCAAGAAGAAAAATCAGTTAGTAACAAGTGTGAGTGAGGCTCAGCGAACCACACTATTACAGCTTTTTACTTTCCAGCAGAGAGATCTGTGTGCTATTATGGGGAAACCTTGTGATGACCAACTGCTGGAGTAGCACCAAGCTAGGGTTGCCCAAAAGGAGAGGAATGGACACAAATGGGTAAGCTGCCTTGCACAGAGAAACCAGGATCTTCTTCCAGTTCTCATCCATACTGGAGGGAGATGCCAAAATTGCTGAGACTGGTCCACCCTAACCTAAGCAGCAGCATCCCTAATGCTTCCTGCAACAGTTGGCAGACAAAGTCAAGAATTTTCCAAGGTGTCTAGAGGCTTTGGATGAGCCCTGCTTGGTATACTTCACAGCAGTCTGAAATTCAGAGATGAGGCAATAGTCGCATTTGAAAATATGAAGTCTCCCGTATAGAATCTTCTTAAACTGAGATGCAAAATCACTGCCAGAAGTGACTCACTTTCCAGGCACAGAAAGGCATTATCACACTACACTTGTCTGGGTTGACTTTTATCCCTTTGCTGCCAGTCATACTCCAAACCCTACTCACCTGCGCTAAGCTGAGAAGTGCATCCAAATCCTGGCATTTCTGGATTGCCACAAATGCCACCTGTGAAATCTGGCAGCAACTTTGTTTAAATTAAACAAGTTGTGGGGGGACCGTGGAAGTACCAAAGTCTCCTTTCCCACTGCTCGGTCACAGGCAGGATGTTGCTCTGGCTCACGGGTGATTCCCTTTTTGCTGACCATCCAGCTGTACTCACACGCTGACTGGCCAGGCATCCCCCACCAAACAGCGTAGTGGTTTTCCTTCTCCCAGTGGGTCAACAAGGAAGTTGCTTTCCTTTGCCAAGCCTTTAATTTTCAGGAAAGATGGAAGAGCCTAACATCTTTGAGACCTCTGCCCTTCTGTCAAATCCTATTAAAATTCACCAGTGAGTTCCTGTGTTGCTGGGCGAGGCAAGACTGACTGCAGGAGATTGTTTCTTTTGGAAAACCAGGCCAAAACCAGAAGATACCAACGAGTTCAATGGGAAAATAAATAACTGTCAGGAGAGCAGCTTGCAAGCTCCTTATTTTGATATTAAGATCCACCCATTTCATGATGTCCCAGTTTTCGACAGATCATTGCCAGCTGCCCATCTGGCGAGCCGTGGTGGCAGATCATCCAAGATCAACTCACAGATATCTTAATTGGGTGCTGCCGAGAGAATGGCTGTCATAAACAAATCACTGGGCCTGCTTGGGAATGAGCAGCAGGACAAAATAAATGAAGATCCTGCCTGTGCACCAGTGCCCTGACAGGGAATGAACGAACGTTGAGAAATATATATGGGAAACCATGGCAGCATAGCATGGTCAGAGAGAAGGGGCATCTGAAAGACAACCAAGCTGCACGTGCTCGGCTGTTTGAACTGCTGATTGCAATCCTGTCATTTCCGATCCAAGGGGAAAGGAGGGACTAGCAGGAGAAACTAGGCTTCCTAACCCAAATGGAGATGGCCTGGAGAACTCTGGGATACCTGAGCCATGAGACAAGCAGTTCGATGGGCAGCCATGTCACTCGGCGAGCAACTGCAGTCTTGGGCAACCAAATGGCTCAGTTTGGTTGGGATTTCTGCTGTACTTCAGGGCCATCACAGACTTTCATACCCTGGCTGCATCATACCACTTCTCACACAATGGGCTCGGTGATAGGGGAAGTGATTGCAGCGGGCTGCAGTGGCGAGCGCAGTCGAGGAGGAAGGATGCTGGAGGTCTGCTCTGGGCTCTGCAGCCAAGGCACAGCTGGAGCCCAGCCCTCCCACTCACGGACACATTTCTAGGTGTTGGGCAAGTCACTTTTTGGGCAGCCTAACCAGTAAGCCTGGTTGTGGTTATCAGCCATGCTGAACACTTTTAAATGCCTTTGGACACCGGAGATTTGGTGGCCCCTGTGGCTACTCACCCAGGAGCTGGTTGGCAGATGAGGTCGTGAGGTTGAACTGCTGCTCCAGGTACTTTCCCAGGAAGGCGGCGAAGCCGGCCACCACTGCAATCTCCATGCAGGCCGCCAGGATGATACAGGTGAAGACGGGATTGGAGAGCAAGTGCTTAGTTACTTTGGGTATCACTAGAAGAGAGGAAAAAGGGAGAGGTGTGTTTGTGTAGGCTCTATTCGAGGTGCTGGAGGTGCCTTGCTGCTCTCCTGAAGGACAAACTCACTTCAAATCAGGAATAATTTTCTAATCTGCACAGACAAGCTGGTTGAAATGTGGCAACACCAGAACAAAGTGAAACACCAGAACAGTGTCATCTAAAGATTCAGATACCAGGAGGGTGCAAAAAGAAGTCACCTGTCGTTATGTTTATATCTTACAGATGATTTTGAAATTCTGAAGGATCAGTGTTTTCCAATATTGCTTTTGTTTCCCCCATAGGGAGGTCAATCAAAACCTCGCATTCCCTTTCTCCTTCTCCTTTTCCTACTTGCTCCCCATGAACAACGCTGAGCCAGCCGATGGGTGCCATAACGCTGAGCCAGCCGATGGGTGTCATGGGTACTGTACTCAGCACCACACAAATTCTTGCAAGCTTTCAGACACAAGCTAACCCAGCTCACACTTGGCCTTTCCTTCTCCTGCCATCTAGATTTGCTTCATTTTCTTATTACCACATAACACTGGCTCGCTTGCTGAGGAACACCTTCATGCAGCACATCTGGGTGCAAGCTGAAATTCTCCTGCTTAGCCTGAGGCCACGGCCACCATGGGCATAAGGGACCTCATGGCTGGGACAGGCATGTTAGTCTGCACGTTCCCATAAACCAGAGCTTCACCAGCCAAGCAACACCTTCCATGCAGACCCTACCAGCCTTGGTGGCTGCAAGGGTGGAAGAGGACACACTGAGCTGTTAGTTGTGTAAGATGCACACACACTTGCTTTAGTTTCATGATCCCTTGCTCCTCCCTCCTGAATCACTCGTGTCCAGAGTCCTCTTTTCTAAGCCCGTCTCTATTTCAGATAATCAAACATGAGTTAACTTACAAAGGGAAATCTGGCTAATGAATCAGATAGCACATTTTCTACTTCAGCGAACATTTTAATTATTGCCGAGATAACACAGCTTGAAGAGGAGAGCATCCCAGTACAGAAGAGAACCTTGCTTTGTCTCAATACCTGATGACTAATTTCTCCCTGAATTAAATGTGAAAATCATTAAGTTTGAAAATTACCTCACTGAAGTGTAGTGAAGCCTCAATGGACCCCTATTTGCATTTTGAAAATCCATCCCCCACATCCCCTGTGGTGTACCAGGGTCTGGCAGATGACAGATTTCTCTGGTGTTGGCTTCTGTTTTCCCTTAGGACTTCTTCTGGTGCAAAATCTAATTGCACTGGCCTCAGCAAGTGAATGCACAGCTCTTTGTCAAGGCTCTGCTTGGGTGCCCTTCGTTGGTTCTTTGCGGGAGGTCGGGGGGGGGACACAACGGGAAGGGTTATAATTAGCTTTGATCTAACCTTTTTGGAAGGGTCCACTCCACAGTTTCTGGTCTCTTTATATCACAAATGTGTTTTCATGCTGTATAAAATTCTTACTTCCTGAGGATTTGCTGAACATAATGAAGGTGCGGGAGGCATAGGATTTTTTAGTAGAACCGGGGCGGGGGGAAGAGAAAAAAAAAATACTGGGAGGGAGGGAGGAACAGGGGTGGGGGGATTCAGGTGTGGATAGATCTCAGAAGCCACCTGCTGCCTCCTTCAGTTCCTCGGTGGCCACCTACAGAATTTACCCTTCTTGCCAGGAAAAGGAGGGAAAATGCAAAGGTGGACTTGGCAGCGCTGAGCTTGAAAAGCCATATTTAAGGTATTAATGCCTGTTGTGCCTCTGGAGTTCAGTTTGTTCGAGATTAATGGATTCCTCAAGATGTAGCTTTGTGCCAATTCAAATGCAAAGATACAAAGACCTCTAACTTCATCCACCAAATAATAACAATGACAGCCTGTTTTTTGCAGGAGGGAGTTAGAGATCATGGACATTTATTTCTGAAGTTGGCCAGGCTGCTGCCCAACCATCATGCATTACCAAGGTCAAAATCCACCCTTTGTACTTGGGGATGGACAGCAAAAATTTTGCAGAGTTACTGCATCATCTCATAGAAGTGAGGAGGCCCTCATGACTGCCTTGCCTGGCAGTGTTGGGCTACGAGTCCCATCACTTCATCATTGCTCCTCCTCCCTGTGTGTCCGGGAGTGAGTTTTCTGGGACAGATCCTGTCCCTCCACTGCATGTTTGACCACCATCTACTGCAACAGGGCTCTGTCCCAGCTGGAGGGTATAACACAAAACCCAGTGCAAAGAGTGCAGAGGCAACACAGGCCAATGCCTGGCAGCCTACACCATCTCCTCAGCCAGGGCCAGCTCGTTCCCTTTCATTTTCTAAGGGAAATGACAGGAGGCTCCCCATAGAAATGAATATCCTTTCATCTTGCTACTGCCACCTGTTAAGATGAATCATTTGACACCTGCTGCTGCCTTATCTGTCTCAGTTCTTGGGGTGAAATACCTCTGGGAACAAGATTAAAAGTCAGCAGTGAAGTTTAAAAATCTCTCAATAGACCGGAGTGACATGCTTTCAGCTGCCTGGCATATGGTGCTGGGTATGAAGGGGGAATGGAAAATGTCTGATGGGGGACAGTAAAGCCCTGGCAAACACAGCAGCTAAGCATGGTGCTTCTTCACTGGAGCCGATCCCAGCAAAAGTCATGATAAATGTTACCCTGCATCTTGTTGGCCCAAAGGTTAGCTGAACACTTTGTAGCAGCACTTTGGAGCTATAAATCTGAGGTTGAAACCCATTCGCCAAATGGGAAAAGAGAAAAGTCTTTTGGATTCAAAAGTCTCAAAAATCTACTTGGAGAACCCATGAGCTGTATCAGACACGGCACAGGAAGACTCACCCTCCCACACTCAGAAGGTCCTGCTCATTTAACATCCTTATCCCAATGCATCCAATACGCTACAGAAACGATGGCAGAAAAGTGATTCTCATTGCTGTGGCAAGATACAGTGAGAAGAACATGAAACCTCTGCCTGTCTTCACTGCTGAAGTACTTAAAACCCAACTCTTCAGACCATCCATGCGCAGCATTGGTCATAGAATCATCCATAGGTTGGAAGGGGCCCAGGAGGATGTCCCAAAGCTCTCCAACACCCCTGCCAATCCCTCGACTTCCCACCTTTTAACACCCCAAGCAACGTCTGTGCCAAGGCATCAAGCATCCTCCCTGTCTCCTGCTGTGGGGTCAGCTGTGGGTGACAGGCCACGGGCTTGACAAGCAAACACACTTATGTACACCAAGTAGCTTTGATTTGTCACTAAACGTTGGGGAGTACCGGGGATAATTGGCAACCTCATTACATGAGGTTTAACTACTCTCCAGAAATGACAAACTATAATCATCACGTTGGTGCTTGAAATGAATTGTTTGGAACATTGCAATCACCAAGGCCCCTTTTTCCAGCTGGAGCACCCTACAGAGACATGTTTTCAATTTGCAGTAAAGATGAGGAACACAGAAAGCAAAGTAATAAATTAGAGGGAGGTTTACAGCCCAGTCCACCTAGGACAGTGCGGTGAGGGAAAGGCGAAATGTAACGTTGAGCCAAAATACTACTTTCTAATAACAACGCAGGCAGCAAGCCTCAGATCTGAATAGGAAACAAAAGGCAAAATCTCCACCTGGCTTGAGGAATAAGGGGTGAAGAAAATAGTGCAAGCAGCAGGAAGAAAATACCTCCTGGAAAGAGGCAGCTCCTATAAAAGAGAAGATGGAGTAAGGCAAGAGGTGCTGAAGATCTCTCAGGTGAGTTTAATATGCCAAAGCCCACGTGGCCTTGGCAAAATTAGTATCACAAAGGATATGCAGGAAAAGGATGACACCTATGTCAAAGAGGCTTCTTACAAGCTTGAAGCAACTGTAACGTTCTCATGCATGGAAAGCAGTTCCTTCTAGTCTATCATCTTGCCTCCAGCAACCACCTTTGCTTGACTTCAGAGGGGGACATAAACCTCCCTCACCCGCATCATGGAGGTCATGGCAAGGCACAGTTATCTTTTTGGAGACAGGCACGCTCTGCCTGACCTCAGCTGCTGCTCAGCTTCTGCCCCGAAGTGTGCAGGCTGAAGGCCTTTCTGAATTAATTAAAGCTTCTGATAACAAGGATGCTGGCTTTGAAACAGCCAAAAAGAACCTGCCAACAAAGCACGCACCCTCATGATATCCAAGCCAAAGAAAACTCGGAGACTGACAGGACCTGATGTGGGGCCTTTTATGACCAGCCGCCATCCCCTTACCTAAGATTAGGATTTCTCAGCAAGCCTTTTAGATGTTGGTAGGGAGCCAAGACCCAAATCCAAAAAGGCATTAAGGTCTTGGTACCCGTCTAGATCTAGGCCAAAGACTCACTGCTCTGGCTGTGAATGAAGGTACAGATGGAGCCCTCTCCAAAAGGTTGTCACTATCACTCATTAGAGTCATGAATTGAAAACTACTCGTGTTAGCCATTAAACCCACTCAATCCTATGAACTCCCACCGAGGACTACAGGCTCTCCATGGCCCGGGACCCCCCTGCACAGCTGGGAGCTTCTGGCCCAGTGCTATGTGTCTGTTGCCAGAGAGCACTTCTGGGGAGAGAAATCCAGGATTCAGAGCAGCTCACTCTCTAGGTATTCAGCAGATTGGTACACAGAGCAGGAAGGAACCGAACAGAAGACAAGACAGCTGTCAGCTGTATATCCCGGCTCTCCTACACTCTTGGAAATGAAGCTGGACAGAAACCAAAATGTTTCCAAATCTAGGGAATTTGCAGTTTTGAAACTCATTTAATTCCACAGTGAGTTTTAATTCCTTGTGAATGAGCTTCTCTCTCCAAACCTGAAGGATTCCACATCAATTTCAATCCTTTCAGGTTTTTAATTTCTCTCACTAGACAGACAGGCAGAATGTAATGAATTTCTGGTTTAAACCATTGCAAAACAAAATACATTTAGAGCAGAATGTTTCAGGGGTGTTAAAAGATATAGCCAAGGAAGCATTTTGAAACCAAGTTTCATCTGCACTGACCGTTGAATTCAGTAGAAGTGACATTTCTGTATGAAAAAAAAATGATTTTAACAAAATATTTCCAAGCACGTCCTGGAGCATGTGGTAGGTTAGAGGCAGCATGTTAACACTGAGTGAGAGGGCAGATGCCGGACAGACACGAGCAGAGGGCACAGGTGTCCTGACACAGCCGAGCATCGTCTCTGGCCCCGAATAGCAGAGAGGTCCCCAAAGGCAGACCAGACGTAGGAAAACAAAGCTGTGCCCCCAGGACAGCAAGGACTGCCTCAGCCTATGCCTGAAATGCTTTCACAGACCATACAGAGAGCGCAGGACTGGCACAGCCCTGCCAGGCTGCCAGCCGAGAGCAAAGAGCAATGGCAGCATTTATCCATCCTCTCCCTGCTATTAATCCTTCACTTCCCTGTGCTCCCAAATGGATTTGCGTTGCTTAACTGAAATACTAATCAGGTAAAGCGGTGCAGCATTCATACGCCAGTTTAGCAATGGTCAGCATCTCCCAGGACTGCCCCAAAGCTTTCTTGCCTGAGCCGCCATGCCCCTGTGCAGAGCTGCCATGGCAGCCACCCGCCGCCTATGCTGCCTTTGATTGCCTCTTCACCTCGTGCCATTCAAAGGCACGGTTTTCGTTTCAAGTTTGAAGCTCCTCTTAAGGATGCTTCTTTTCCCGGCATGAAAATATCCCACAGGAAGAGGTGCCATGGCTTCCCAAAAGCTGGGCCCTCCCTCCTGTTTAGACCTTGATAGAGACGTAAAGGACTTTTCGACACTTTGAGCAGGTTGCTTTTATATTAGTCCTAGCTTTTCTGCGTGCTAAGGCCAGAGAAAGCCAAGGAATCTCACCCAGCCCTGCATCTCACTGTCTTTCAGCAGATCTTGTAGTGTCTCGAGCATCCTCCCACGTGCCAGCCATGCCATGTCGCTAGCTGACAGCCGTGACCCAGCTGGGAGCATGTCTCCAACTGACACCGCCCCGCTTCCTCTCCTGCCACGTCCACTCACTTGCGGCAGTCACCGCAAGGCTTGAAAAAAATAAAATAAACCAAAAAAGAATCAAACCCCTTCAACAGCCAAAAAGGAGACTCAGTTCAGCCTCTAAGGATGCACTGTTGATACACAGTGTGTTCGCATTATCAGTCCAGAGAAACAACTCTTCCTCCCCACGCTGTGCACAAGAGATGGACAATCCACACCTCCATGCAGACATGGACTTACAGCCGGCACACACCTGCCCAGGACCCAGCTGCAGAGACAACACTTGCTAAAAAGGAGTCAGAGTTATGGCCACACAAACCCCAAATGAGCATTTCCACCCCCAGCCCCATGTACAGGTATATCCTCTGCTGTTCAGCCTCACAAATACATGCAAACCCCAAAGCCCATAGTAGGACAGAAGACATGACTATGCATGCACATATATATTTTTAATTTCTGTGTATAATTACCAGTCCTTTTTATCCTAGGAAAAATGCTAAACAGTCTAACTTCCCCCAAAGGAAACTTTATACAATCAACAAATAGATTAAGTATAAAAGGTCCTGCCACACAGGAATGCATAGATATTTTTCAGCTGCTGGCAGAATAATGCATATACACAGCAAGATTCAACCCACCACCTTAAACACTGCTCATCGGAAATGAGCAAGGCACATTCGCCTTCCCTTGTGGTACGTGTCTGAACACCTCCTCCAGGCGGGCACTTTAGCTAACACGACTCTTGACCACGTTCCGACTGTGACAATAGCGGCAAGGGACTTGAGAGGAGATGTCAGCTACCAACACTGCGTTGTCTGTGACAGCCTCAAAGGCATAACTAAAAAGGTCATTCCCTGTCTTATTTGATGTGATGTAAATTGTATTTCAAAGTCCATCTACAGAGAGACTTCTGGAATACTGACTGATCCGAAATGGGGGTTACCTGCAATGAGAAAGCTAACGTGGAAGACTGTGGTGCCTCCTGATGTAATCAATACTTTGAAGCATATGGATGTGGCAGTTCAATTTCTCTACTTCAATGAGCAATAGATGCTCTAGGAACACCCCCATGACCTCCCTGTGTGCAAGAAACTCAGCTTGCTCAGCACCACCCTTAGGCAGAACTGCTGCCCCTCCATGCAGCTGGGACATGCTGTATTCTTTCATTTTTCTATATGAAAACCTGCAAAAATTTCCAGTGCCCATTCCAAAAACTCAGTGGCCAGAAGCAGACGCTCTGACGAGTCCATGACAAAAGCCACAGAATTATCCAGATGGACATACCATGGGAAAAGCCCATTCCTCAAACTTGGGGAAATCCTTGCAAAAAGGATGAAAGGATGAAGAAATTAATTTTACTGACAAATTTTCAAACAATTTATCCCTTTACCTTTCTTTTGAATTTTCTCATCAGGTCAAAATTTCACATCTTTGACCTCCCTTTAATGAACAACCACATCAACTATTCAAGGCATTTTTATATTAAAGAAAACACTTTTTTCCCCAAAGTCTCTTTTTTCTTCCCACCCACACCACATTCAATTCCCAGTTAAGGTAACTGCACGAGGAGTAAGTGATTTTGTCCTCATTTATCAAAATGTATTAGGCAGTAATGAAACCCGCTCTGCCACAGTGACAGAGAGTGGGAAGCAACCACCAGTACTACAGAACCACCCTCTTAGATGAAGGATTTTCCAGTGCAGCCTATAGAAAGGATATCTGCCCAGGCTCTCCCACAAAATGCCGGATCCTTAGCTGACCTTAATTAGAGCGAGGTCCATTTCCATCACTGCAGGACACGACGTGGGATTTTCTACTCTAATTTGCTACAAGCCATGCTCTGCCCTGCCACTTTGCTGCTATTCTGGGCTGGTATTTACCTCTTCCCCATCCCAGTTTAAGAGCTGCGGTGGTGCCCAGCACTCACTGCTTTGTATCTGGGATTGCACTAAGCTGCAGCTCAGATGCCAGGAGCTCCCAATTTCTTTTAACTGCCCTTGCTGGCTTGCTCTCCGTTTCGGGGGACAGAGGGGAGCAGGACAGTAGACTGGAGAGAAGTTCACAAATTGCTTTGGCAACTGTGTTCCCCTTCATTTTTTTATCAACTCTACAGGACTATTGTGCATTTCTGAAGCTTTGTAGTTTAAAAAAAAATCCCAAACCTTTCAAGTGGAACAAAGTCTCTCTTTAAAATGAGGACAATGCCGGAGATAATTAGAGGCTAGGGACTGAAACTTCAGGATACTGAGGGTTTTGGGGGATTTTTTTGGGAGTAGAGGTAGATAGCCCAAATCAGAGACCAATTATAAATCCAACTAGCTGTTAAGCTGTTGCTGACGCTCACAGAAAATGTGACAAGAGCCAGTGCCTCACCTCGGAGCTGCTGGAAGCAGGTCGTGCTGCTCTCCCCGTCCAGCGCGTGCCGCAGGACCCCGTTGCTTGGCTTGGGTCTCTCGTAGTCCCTCTCAGGAAGCATGGCCTGCTCGCTCTCCCCGGTGTGCTCCGGCCGCGGGGGCAAGGACTGCGGGAACCCGAACATCGGCAGGGACGAGAAGAAGAGTAAGGCACCACACAGCAGGAAGCCTCCCCACCATGCACCGATCCACCGAGGGTCGTCCGGGGTTATGTCCAGCTTACCTGTAAGGGCACACACACACACACATCAGTGGCTCGGCTGTGGGGAGGGGAAGACGACAGTGTTAATGATCCTGTAGGCTCAAGATGGTTGTTGGGGGCTTTGTTGGCTGGTGAGGGACTCCCAGACACAAGACGGGGACCCACAGTGCATCCCACACCCATACCGTGTGAGCCACCAGTGCATAATGACCTCCACATCCAAGAGGACCTTAGGACAAGCAACCTATCACCTTGTCTATCTAGATGGTACATCCAGCTTCCGCAACACCCTGTAATCAGAGCTTCTCTCCAGTGTCTTTGGCTCTGCCAGCTCTAGGAAGCTGCCATACACCAGTCAGTGTGCCCCGTGCTGGCACCAAGGTTTTGGACATCACTGTCCCAGCATGTCAAATGTGCACACACAGCTGACATACCCACTGGCACAAAGACCTGCATGGAGAAGAAGCAGGACAGGCAAGGACATTGCATCTCCATCCCAGCTTACCCTTTTTTCCCAGGAGGTCAATGCTCTCCCTGCTTTGAATCCACAGCCCTTTTCAGCAAAGGAGAGATGGGCATTTAGGCTTTATGGGCACCTGTGACTGTGTGGAGGGTGAAACAGTCCTAAATATTGGAAAATAAACCCACCCAACTGCATCAAATGGGCTCAGAAAGGTAGAGTAATCATTAGAAAATGAAGAAAAGCAAAGTAAAAGGCAAGAGTATCCTGTAGGCCATCACTCAGCGGAGATAAGGAAAAAGGCGGCTCTGGAGTCAGTTTGGGGGAATAAAAATAAGCAGCAGGAGAGAAGAAACTGTGTACCTAACAGCCACCTCACTGCCACAGCCACTTGGCAAGCTGGTGGAGGGTGCCCAGCACCAGAGGTGACTCCCAGGGGGGACCCGGGTCTGCATGGTTAGAATAACAAGCTCCTTCTGTTCATCATGTCTGTCTGGTTACCGCCACTCTGAAAAATCTGTCTCAAGTGAGGCAATCAAGTTGTCTCTCCAGCAGAGATGGAAGGAAACTCTTTTCTCCTTAGGGAAAATAACATGTAGCTCTCAAATATATATAAAGTTTGAAAAATAATGTTTTGGAGGGATTGGATTCTTCTGCTGTTATTTCCTCCTGCCTGAAGTGCATTTTTTTCAGGTTCTTGGGAACATAGCTACATGAAGAGCCACATAAACCAAGGTCTTCTTCATATCCCCTTCCAAAAATAGGTCCTGTACGGAGGGCAGCGCAGCAGTGTGCCCTGGCATCCCAACACCTCCTGACCGAAACAGGGAGCAGGACAGGGCTCAACCCTCTGCAGTTCGGTCTCCTTGTGCCGCCCCGAGCTGCAAGG